ATGCTCAGACTGCCTGAGGCCAAGATGGGATGGGAACTCCTTGTGCCTGATTCTTAGGCTCACACAAGATTCCGCCCACTGTATTTCCATCTAAATAAACATCAGCGGGATCATGATAAGCATTCACAGCAAAGTCAATATCCACTTGACCTTTTAATAAAACCTCACATAAAAATTTGGCTTTATTCTAGAAATATATTTAGTATTTTATATCTTTATCTCATTTTTATTTTTTGTTTTTGTTTCTCCAATTGAGCTTATGAAAGCTGCTGATTTCCAAACTGTTGTGTTGGGTTACCCATCAGAAATGTGGTTGGCTATCTTGCACAGTTCAGATTCTTAATAGACGAGGTTTCCTACACATATTTGAAAGACAATATTCCAACACTGTGTGCAGTTTGACACCTAAAGATGAAAGACTTATGCATATGTTAAGTGATTTTATCAAGGTTTACTATTAGAGGAAAATCATGAAAAAGTAAAGTTTGTTTCCCAATCAGATAATGTAATAATGTATAAAGATTCAATTAGCATTATTCAATATTATAGAAAATATAAAAATATGTCTGAAAAAATTTCAGGGTAAAAATTATGCATACCAAACTTTTGGTTAGTAACTGCCAAATTGTAGATCTTTCTATAGCACAATCCTTACAACAAATTATAAAGGGCCACTCAAACTATGAATTAATAATTATAGAGCCAGGGTTCTCAAAGTGCGGTCCCTAGACCAGCAGGATAACCTGGGAACTTACTAGAAATGCAATTTTTTGTGCTCCATTCTTGATATACTATAGGATATAATAGATAGATTGTTAGATAGATGTATAGATGGATGGATGGATAGATATAGTTTTTGTTTCTTCAGTTGAGCTTAAGAAAGCTGCTGGTTTCTAAAATGTATTGTATCAGCATATATATATATGTATACCTACACACACACACACATATAGAGAGAGAGAAAGAGAGAAAGATATTTATTTTAAAGAAGTGGCTCACATGATTATGGAGGCTGACAAGTCTCAACACCTGCCGCAGCAAGCTAGAGACCCAGAAGAGCCTTTGCCCTGAGTAGTTTCAGGGCAAAGCTGGCAGACTCAAGACTTAGGAGAAGCTGGTGCTTCATTTTGAGTTTGAAGGCAGATGAAAACCGATGTCACAGCTGGAAGACAGTCACACAGAAAAAACTCTCTCACTCAGACTTTGTTCTATTCAGGCCTTCAGCTGACTGGATGAGATCCATCCACATTAGGGAGGGCAATCTGCTTCATTCAGTCTACTCATTCATTGTTAACCTCATTCAGAAACACCTGCACAGACACACCTGGAGTAACATTTGATCAAATATCTGGGCACCTTAGTGCCATCAAGCTGACACATTAAATTGACCATCATGTATACCAGGGGTGTCCAATCTTTTGGTGTCTCTGGGCCACACTGGAAGGAAAAGAGTTGTTTTGGCCCATACATTAAATACATTGAGACATGTAATCACTAAAAAATCTCATAATGTTTTAAGTAAATTTACAATTTTGTGTTGGGCCACATTTATAGCCATCCTGGGCCACATGTATACATTGTATATTGAATCAGAACTCTCAGTGGGAACTAGCAGTCTTTTTTTAACACTGCCCAGGTGATACTCATGTACACCAGGGTTTGGAAAGCACTGCTCTAGAGTGAATGGGCTTTCTGACTTCTGAGATTTCTGCTTGGAGTCATGGGAAAATGCCTTTTAAGAACTCATGATCTGGTTGGATCCTAGTAAACAAAAGCCATCTCATTTGCTAGCTGGTTTAGAGAAAGGGCATTGTCATCTGGAACTGAGGACAGGTGGATTCTGTTCTCCCCTGCCCTAGAGCTTTATCATGATCAGCTTAAGAACCTACAGGTACCTACCTTCTCTGAAGGACTCTCCCGTTTGTCGATTTCAGACCCACAGTCTTCAGTAAACATGGACCTGTATTGTGGAGCCGAGCGAGTAGGCAGGGCCTTCTCCGCCCTCATTGATCGAATCACCTTGGCGAACTTTAAGTGAAAAGGAGTCCAGTCGCAGCCCCTTGGGGTGATGACAACACGTATTTTCAAAATCTGTACTGAAAGAACTAAGCCTTCTACCCTCTGTCTCAATAGTCTGGTGTGAAGCTGAAGAAAAGTTTAATTTTCAATCTCCTTACTCATGTGTCTCAGTTCTTCAGAGGAAAGCCTTTGGGAGTGAAGGGTGGTTGAGGGAAATGGAAAGAAGAAGCCAGATCAAATCCAGATGTGCTGAGTTTTCAGTAGAGAGCCATTCTTACTTTGGAAACCATGGAGGTAATACTCAATTGTGTGATCTATATGAATTTGTGCGACTACCTTCTTCAGTATTATTTAAATGACTTAATTAATGACCTAATTTTCTATCTGGTTGGTCTTGCTAGAGAATAAACTTACAAATACACACACATACACACACACACACACACGATAGAGTGCATGCAGAACTCATGAACTCTGAATAAACTGTGGATTGTACCAATTTTCTCATTGTTTATTATACTGTAGCTCTGCAAGAGGTTGTCATTGACGGAGACTGATTGCAGTATAGGATGTTTCTGTGTTGTTCCTCACAAGTGTCTACAAATCCACAATTATCTCAAATTTATTTTTAAAAACATGAGTGTTTCTCATTAAGACCCCACATCCAATGAGTTTGGTCAAGGAACCTGTGTGCTTCCTTTCTCTCTATGTATATAATTAGGGTGGGTAATTAGGGTCTCTCTATATATGTAATTAGTTGCTTGACTTTACAATGTGCACAGTAATAGCTAATATTTCTGATGGTTAGAGCACTTTGTTTCTAAGCACCTTGTATGTAATAACTCATTTAATCCTCACAACAAATCTAACAGGTAGATATTTTATAAGACAACTGAAGCACAAAGAGGCTCAGCAACTTGTCTAAAGTCATTTGGTTGGCACTTAAAGAAGTCGAGATTCAAACCCAGCTCCCTTGCCTGTGCCCTAAGCACTGCTCTGCACTTTCAGTAAATACTGTTATGATTCCATTGTCTTACCTATTATCTTAATGTGCAGTCCATGTTATATTTAGAGAGGCTTTAGATTTTATTTATATGATATACTGTTTCTAGTACTATTTCCAAAGTGAAATGATGTCCACTTGGGTAATATTAGGACTAGGTTTTCTTTGTTCAGTCTCATCCTAATAATTTTGAACTTGCTTTCCAATTTATCACAGATTTTTTATTTTGATTTTGCTGCTCAGTGCATTCCCTCTCCTTATGTCATCCTAGTTTGTTCCTTACAAGTTTGATAAGCATGCCCCAGAGCACCGGTCAGCAAGCTGCAGCCCACGGGCTACATCTTGCCCACTGCTGGTTATATATAAGCTATGAGCTAAGAGTGGTTATTATATATCTAATAATCAAAAAAATTTCAAAGAATAATTATTTTGTGGCACTTGACAATGATATGAATTCAAATTTCAGGGTCTGTAAACAAAGTTTTATCTGAATACAGTCACGCTCATATGTTTATGTAGTGTCTACATCATCTTTCATTCTACAAAGGCAGAATTACTGGATGGCCCACAAGCATAGAATATTTACTATCTGACCCTTTGCAGAAAAAATTGGGCAGCCTTTTTGTCATGTGGACCAAGGTGAGACAGGAGCAAGGGGCCGGCATTGTGCAAGCATTGTAGAAAAGAGTAGCATCTTTTTTGATGATTTATAAGAGATAATGAGTTTGTGTGATTTTTTAAAAGAATATCATAAAAGACACCAGAACAAGCAGCTTGAAAGCAAAAGCACAAGCCCACGTAGAAACAGTAGCTGAAGAGTGGCAGCCTCTGAGGTGTTCATTCTCCTAACCAAGGGAAGCTGAGGCTGGGCCCCTCCCCAGTTCCTCCCCCAGACTTGCTTCCTTTATTGTACGGCTTGACCAATCTTCAGAAGCAGCTGAGTCTTCTAATAATAACCCTTTAGATAATAATTTTAGTTTATGGAGGGCCCTAAACCTTCAGTGAAAACATTTACCTAGGCTTCCTTTGGACCTGGAAAAAGAGACTGAATTGCTACCACATCTGAAATTCAAACTGGTGGTCAATCATTGATTCTATTGGAATGATTGGACAGATGAGAGTAACTATATAAGATAAAAAGAGCAATACGCCTGGAACCCGAATACATTTGCTAACTGGACTTCTCTGCTATGAACCTCATTCAGGCCTGGCCATCTTAAGGGAAAAAAATTTATGGGTAATTTTCTTATAAAGCTGTTCATTTGACTTTTGGCTTGCTTTTCAATGCAAAGTGTAACCAATTACAGAGTTTTAATAGTTAATCAGACAGAAAATATGCTAATTTGGAAGGAACACACAATGCTATTTTATTCAAGTTTTGATTATCATTAATGGTAACATTAAATATTGAAATAAAGAAACTTTAATAATATTACCTCGGGTCCAGAGCTTTTTATTCATTTTGTTTCCATTAGAACTCTTTATTTGTCAATGTTTTTTTATTTTTCGCTTCATTCAGTTCAAAATATTCAAAAATATTCTTTCAAACAAGATCTGGGTATCACAGGTCATCAGTAACTTGTAATTAATATAGTCGCTTATATGCCCGTGCATAAGCTGTCTAGCGGGTAATGGCCTGGAAGGCATGCAGTGTCTTCACGTTGAATGTATGACGCTCTAGTTCAGCAACAACGTCACATGCATCTCAGAGCACATGGTCAAAATGAATGCAAAGCAGCTGAGCATCCCCCAACCGCCACTGGTCTTTGAGAGCTCTCTGAACTTTTTCAGGCTGTGGGAGGATCTGGCGGTAACGCCACTTGTGAAGGAGCGTGCTCGCAGCCTCAGAGAATGAACCTAAGCACTCTGAATGCGGCTTAACATTTATCTCTGGACATTCCCACCAAGTAAATGAATGATCAATAGTCAAGACAAAATAGACACTTTTTAAATTCCAAGATTTGAGTTAACTCTGAAGTTATTTTCTCTTTATTTCTGGGCCTCTGCTTGCTTTTCCAGCGAGCGTAGCCCCACTGCTGCGCATGCGCACACTTAGCAAATCTTCAATCACCTTTTTCTTCTTCAGGGAAAGGATTCTGAGTTGCTGAGAATATGCACCTAGTAGAAAAAAGGAACAAATCATTAAGTCACTAAATTTGTTTCAGGTTAATGAATATCAATGTGTTGGTTTTAAAAGGAAGACCTGCAATAACTGCCCTTCTACTATTAAAATTCTGTATAAATTTATTGAGAGATGTGTATGTAAGTTTGTGTTGATGAAAAGTTTTGTATCCTATGATGTTTAGCTATATAATATAAATTAAGTAAATTGAAATAAATACATTTCTTATTAACACATATTAAGATACCTTTCTAATTAAAAAATAGAAATGGTCATTATATAATTTTTAATATAAAAATATAAAGAAAAAACTTGAAACTACCCTAAATAGAATCTTCCAGAAACAACCATAGTTATATGCATACACACTTTATACCATAATGTAGTTTACCATTACTCTGTTATGGACATTTAAACTATTTTCAAATTTTCTGTTACTATAAATACTACTGTGGTGAATAGCCTCATACCTCATCACTAGTTACATCTCTGAATGTCTCCTGAGAATAGATTTCTAAATGAGTAATTTCTGAATGGGTTTCTTAGGAAATTTCTTGAAGTAGAAAATCAATAATTTATGCATCTTAATTATTTATATCTCTGAAGCATTGTTTTGTCTTCTGTTTAGTGTTTTAAAAATTTGCCAGCTAGTCAGACACCAACTGCAAATATCATCCAATTACAAGTCTAAATTTTAATTTTTTTGCCATGGAGGAAAGCAAAGACTCACAATTTTTAAAAAACATACAAACTCCCCAGGCAGGCAGGTTTTTCTGTCCTTCTTAGTGGCAGAGCAAGATTTTTTCAAGGAAAATGCTGTCATTTTTGACACAAATGAGGATATAGTTTAAAAGTCCCTTCAGTTGCATTGAAGTGTTTACTAATTCATAAATTAACCTCAACTCTGTTATTTTCTACTGGGGAGTTATCATCAGGATATTCTTTTCCTAAATCAATTCATTGAATTTCTGTCTCTGTTTCTCTCTCCCCGCCACGCCCTGCCCCGGCCCCCACCTCCCTCTCCTTTCCTGCCTTCATGTAACCCATTATAATTTAGTGGTTAGGCCTTGGTACACCATCCTCACACCTTCCAGATATTTCAACATTCAATTATTAGCTCATATCATTCCAGACTAAATAACAATGATCACTGGAGTTGTGTTTTTTTCTCAAGTGATATCCCCAGCCCTCAGGTTTTTGAGAATTCTCCTTTCATTTTTGAGCCTCCTCTATTCCTGCTTATTGTTGTCATAAACAACCATGGTGTCCAGGTCATCCATCCCCCAGGTTGGGAAGGTGTCCTTGGGGTAAAGCTCTTCAAGATTCTCTTCAGAGTTAAATACATGCCTTTTGTACATTTATTTTTATAGACTCAGAACATTAGAACAGAGAACCTGCAGAGACTTCATGGGTCATCTAATTCTTTCCATACACCTCTTTCTCAGATGAAGAAACTGAGGGATAAATAAATTAATAGACTTGCCCAGGTACATAGCTATTTGATAGTTACTATTTTTATATTTGTTGAGCTATATTAACAAGTGTGATATATTAACATATAAAATTACATGGGAGCTTTATGTTTTTAAAAAAACATGATTTATAGCAACATTTCTCAACTGTATTTGAACTATTTCATTCAAAGCCATCACAGTAAGAAGAACTTTTGCACATTATGCAAGCACTTAATTTACCGTGTTTTTCAGACCATAAGATGCACTTAATTTACTGTATTTTTGAGGTAAATTAGGTTTCAGAGGAGGAAAATAGGGAAAAATTTTTGAAGCAAAAATGTGGTAAAATATTTAATAACATAATATTTCACCAATGTAAATATAAACAGAACTCAACAGCAGCATTAACAGCCATTATTCCTCCCAAATTTGGTGGGGGGGAGGGTGTGTCTTATAGTCCAAAAAATATAGTAGTTCTTTCCTTCCATTCTGATTATGTGATTTCTCTGAGAACAATAGAGGCTAACACTTCTTCACCTTTACCCAATCCCAACCTGGTGGCATGTTAATCCTCCAAAGACAAAAGAAAAATTTGTGCAGAATTTGTGCAAGTACACCCAGGACCAGTTGAGCCACTAGAGATTTAATCAAGCCTCTTGAGATGAAATCTCAGTGTTCCTGCCATGATTGAACTTTCAGACACAGTGTCTTCTTGACCCAAGACCCTCTTTGACTATAATTATACCAACCAAATGGAAATTCTTGTTTCTCGGTCTGCAAATGATTGTTTATGTCAAATGTTAAAATAATTTCAGTAAAGTGAAATATTTGCTCTTGCCACTCGCATAGCTAAAGTTTGCAGAACAGCTGGGTCAATAGCGACTCTGTACAAGGTGAGGGAAGTGGCTTCCACAGCTGAAATTAAATGAAGATAGAAATGCCAAGTTGAAGTATGCTCCGAAAAATACTCTCTCTGTTGCAAGCAAGCAGGCAAACTGAAAGCTGTTTCAGATAAAGAATACTTCAGCTGAACACAAATATTATTTTCATTTATTTTGTAGAAACTTGAATAATTCAAAGTGAATGCAAAATAAAAAAAATGAGTATAACAGCTAAATGTGGTAAGAATGGAAGAAAGGGCTCTACAGTGCAGAGGAAGAAAATATCCAGTCCTTAATGATGCTGATGTCTTGTCAGCCTCTGCTTACAGTATTGTGTACATTTTGGTTACCAACATTTAAAGACACTCAATTTGTGTTTCTACTTTAGTAGCTTAACTGACGAAAGAACATTTCTTCTAAAAAAGAAACTTGGTTTAAGTGACAATAACACTTGCTAAAATAATAAATTTATCTATAAACAATATTAGTGGATTATCTGGTGTTATGGATCAGGAAACCATGAGGATTTGTAGTTACTAAGGTTAAAACAAATTAGGTACATAAAGGCTCTACAATATCTTGGGAAAGGGTTGGTCTAACACTAGTATTGTTAATTGCTATTTTAATAGATTATGGAAATATATAAGGATGCTCACAATAAAACATGCATGTGCAAGAATTAATTATGCTTTAGTTTTCCACATAAATAATTCTCAGAGTCACCACCACTGAAACAGCCCTTGCTGCAAGCATTGGAAACTTATTAGTTGAAATGCCACCAGAAAAAGAACAAAAGCAATATGTATAGAGCTAAGGGATCTCTCAACTTATGGGCTAATTCTCCCACATACTAATTCTGTAAAGGATATTTCTTCTAGTGTCCCTAGAGAAGACTTTATTTTAATATAATCTTTACTTAAGTAAAAACCTCTAAATTTGTAGGAAATTCCAAATTATTACATTTTAATTATTCAGCTTGCTGGAAGTTAATTCCTTAAGATTTATTTAAAAAACAATGATGAGTCAACTTGCAAGCCAGACAATTGTTCTGCCCTTTACTTCATCAATTAAGTACATCTCAAGGAGCCCTTTCATTAATATGAAAGCAATGTACTTGGTTTTTTTTAATTTAAAAAGAGCAAGAGTTTATGCATGGTGAATGTTCCCCAGGTTTATGTTCGAATCTTCCCAATGCCATAGTAGCAAGTAAACACAGACTATGCCCTAATATTCAGGCTAATGGTAAAAAAAAATAGTGTTAATTTTGGGGCATCCCTTTATAACTTCATGTTGTATTTTGGGACTCATGCTTTTCCCCTTCCTTTTCTTCTTGACTTTTCCTGGCTGCTGTTCACATGAAGTACAAGAATGAGAACAATATATTAACATAAAAAGCTACTATGAAATACAACAGGAAGTACTATCTATCTTCCTATCAGTGTGTGCTTTTGGGGTTCACCCCTGGGAGGCATATATGTGGCAGTGGATTTTTCTAAAGACATTTCCCTCTTCCACACAATTCAGCACATTCATATTTGATTGACCCTTCCAAGATTTGGGACCTGGGGTTGACCACCTTGTTTTTCCCTCATGTGCTGTGGATGCCCTGCTGAGATCTTCTCTTCTTCTCCAGCCAATTGCCTCCTTCCTAAGCCATGGTTCCTGGATAGCACACAGTCCACATAGATGTCCCAGAAGAGTTGGGCCAGATCCCAAAACAGTGCCCCATGCTTCAAGTTCCCAGATGACTTCAGGTAGATCATGAAATCCCAGAAACCTGACACAGTGTTGGAAATTCGAGGCTTCCGCATTTCCAGGAGGATAATTGAGGAAGACTCCCAGCACTGAGGATCAGCTTGGTTAAGAGCCAGCAGGTCTATCTGGCTGTGGCAGGAGAAAGGAGACACACAGCACATTCCAACAATGAGCAGGGAGCAGGTGAGGCTCAAGGGGCGGTAGATCCCTCCTCTGTTTCCAGGATCAGCCATGGCCCTGAAAATGCACATGATGGAAATATCTCATATGAATCCCTGCTTGTGCTACACTCAGGAAAGAAAATAATTATGCCTTTAAGAACCTTGGTGACCCCACTGTCTCTAGGAAAAGTCTTATCCTTCCTCTCATATTACAAGCCCAATTCTATCTTAAATGATTTGTTGTCCAGTTACATAGTATAAAACCAAGATATATAGCCTATGAAATATGTATTCCTAAGAAGTGTTCCTTCTGAGATGAATGAGTGAATGTGTTTTTCCTTAGCACAGAAGAATGTGGTTTAAGAGTATAAAGCGAAAATTTAAGATCTTGTTGCACAGTTTTCATCATTCTACAATACTGTAATTTAGCTTATCTATCTTAATCAAGGACTTCCATGCAATTAAGAATTTTAATATAATCTTACCTTTGGATCTTTTCCTATTCAAGGTGATTTTAATTTTTTTAAAAAAGAGCATAATATTTGCACACTGTTCTAAATAAAAAACAAACACAAGATAGGGTGATAAAAAACATGTGAACCAAAGGGCACATATTTACCCAATTAGAGTAGACTCAATAGACCTTTTATCAGCACCAGAAATGTTCTCCAATTCTAATCTAAATTTCATAAAGATGATATTTTCTCATTTCTATGTTCTTGTTATAAGTGTCAAGAATTTCAATAAAAATAATTTGCCTCTCATTTAACTTTTCTGGCTATCAAAGCCTGTTGCAATAATATCAAGGCATATATATTGCACCTTGAAATTGTTACACTTCAGACAAGTGCAATGAGAAATGACATCCTTAAAATGGTAATAACCTAAGTTTCTCTCTAAGAAAAAAATTTATTATCTGGCTCTTCATAGACTATATGAAATTTATATCATTCTATAACTCTAATGGAAAGGAAAAAGCAAGAGGACTTATACAGCTCACTTTCAGCTTTATCTTACATTTCCAAATGTTTCAGATGCTAGTATGAAGGCAACTGGGCTCAGCTCATGGGAATATATCTACTTTGAAATATTTAATAATAATACTACGATGTGGAATCTTTTTCTTCTGGACAGCACAAGAACATACTGAGACACTCTGAAACTGATATTTCATAAACCATCTTAGAACATGTCTGTTCCTCTTTTGAAGATGTATGTTGAGATACAAGATTATTCAAAAATACTCACTCTGTGTTTCAGATTACTGACACAAGTCTCTACCTGAACAAAATTATACTCAATATGTCCTCTTCTGAACTAAACTATCAGAGTCAAGGGGCCCAAAGGGGTCCTTTTTCTTAAGGGACAAGCCCAAGATAGTGTTAAGTTTAAGAGGTTGAGCGGGACGCTGTCCAGCGTGCTGAAGTTGGCGTTGTCCGGGTCTCCCTGCCTGCTTGCGCCACCGCGGCGCACTAGGGCTCCTTCAGGTTCCATGAGGAGGATCCTCCTCGAGCTTGGAAGTTCCTCAGCCCTGGGGTCCTCCGTACATCCCGCTACGAGTCCTGCGCTGGGTTCGGCGAGTCTGTTCCATGGCACCTGTTCCATGGCCTCACCCACCTCCGAGAAAATCTGCCAGGGACCCTCTGTATGTCCTTTGTGCCCCACTCGCCTCCTTACTCCACACCTTCCCTCCCAGGTGGCAGAAGGGCACCCTCTGCGCTTACCTGCTCAGTTCTGCCTGGGTTCCCGCAAGTGTGTGGAGAGAAAACGCTCAGGTTGCTCCCGGATCCAGTGAAGGTCCCCAGCTTCAGCGTCCTGAAGTCTAAGGTGCTTGTTCTTAAGTAGTGGGAGTGTTCCGCGCCTCTTCAAGTCTACGTCAAAGCGCCGGGAAACTGCCACCACCTCTAGCCCCCACGTCCATCTCCCACACCCTCTTCCCTCCCTCCCTTGAAAACCTCACTTCAGGAAATAAGCAGGCTTAGCCATACACACCCTCATTGACCGTAACCTGCATCACCCCCACCCCAGCTCAACAGAAATGAGCCTTTGTGTGGTTTGGCTTTTCTGTCCTAACTCGGGAGTTGTGGCGCTGCAGGCAGGACCTGGAAAGTTGGCACCCAGCTCCGCGCCAAGGGGGATTCTCCAGACTCACAGTCTCCAGGCGTGTCTTGCTTGAGAATAAAGAGAGGCGAGAGAACACCCGTGATTAAAGTAGGGCAAGGCACGTGGGCTCCCGCTCCACCGTCAGTAAGGTGCTTCCCGGATTCACCCTTGGTGTGAATTTCTCCTGCTTGCCTGCGGTCTTGGGCTGGAAGGAGAAAAAACACCCCTGGGGCAAGGATGCGTGCTGGTAGGAAGCTCCCCCCGACTGAGGACAGGAGATGCCTTTATCTCCAGGACCTGTGGCCTGGATAACCTCAGGAGCTCGGGTTGTTGCTGGCGTCATTTGAGTCAGCCCACCACTCCAAATTCACAGCGGGGTCCCTGTTTTCCAAGAAGAGGAACCGGTTGGGATTGCCTGTGATTCTGAACTCACAGCTAGTGAACATCCTAGCTCCTGGCTAGAGTCCTGTCACCCCTTCAAGGTTCTGCTGACTATTAGCGTTCACCCTACCTGAAATTTTCCCAGACCAGACACCTGTGGCAAAAGTCATACCTTTGCAAATGTTTCCAGGTTTTGCCCCTTGCCTCAAAATCTTCTAAGCATCCTGAAAACCACTTGCAGTATCCATTTAACTAAAGGCTTTTATGCCAGCTCTATTGTATCCATGGTTACCTTCCAGAGGGGGCACAGGGAGGAATCAGACTTTTAACAGTGTTTACCAAAGCATGGAGACCCCCACCCCTACTCAAGTAATAGGAAGACAGCTCTGGAGATAATTCCTTAAGGTTCTGGGCTTATTCTCCTGCCTTGAAACTAAAACAGGATGAAATGTACTTCTGTTTCTCCATCTGTGATTTGGGCATACTAAGTCCTGCATTTGATTACATACCAAGGGTGTGGGAAAAGGTCATAGGGTGAGGTTTTGGACTTGCTTCCTAAACTTCAAGAAGGTCATTAGAGAAACACAGTGCATGTGCACAGGGACAGAGTTTGGCATGGGGGAACCCCAAGAAAGAGAGAGGGAAAGGAGGGGACAATGAAACAATCCTTGAGAATGTGACTGTCACAGCAAACCTCTTGAAGAAGGAGTTGCACAAGTCTCCCAAGGCCAAAAGGGAGGAGATGGTGTCCTCCAGACAGAGAATTCAGTATGGGGAAAGGCACGGAGGGAGCACTCAAAAGAAAGGAGTGTAGAGAGAGAAGGGAGGATGGAGGTAAGGATGTGGGGATTTAATTCTGGTTTGGGGCATGTCAATGGTTAACATTGTCCTTGAAAACATGGGTATACAAATATGCAGTGCTTACTTTATTTTTAAGTGCCTCTGTGCCAGCCACTATTCTAGATGTTGTGTATACAGAAGGAATGAAACTAAGTACCTGTACTCATGGAGCTTATATTCTACTGGGGGGTGGAGAAATAAAATTTACATTTTAATGTTAAAATTATACATGTATAATGATTTGTGTCTCTAGTTTCTATGTTGAATAGTGAGTTTACACCTATGCATCAAAAATGAACACATAACTAACTAATTATATAAGTAAATAGTGACCTACATGAGTCAATAATGAAAGTATATGTGTCATTCTGAAACTCGAAGAAAAATGTATGTGTAATGTGGCAGGTATAATAAGAAAAAGCACAGGGTCATCAACAAAAAGTAAAGCAGGTTTAGAAAAGGATGATGGAGAAGAGTTATTTTATATGGAATAATGAGAAGCCTTTCCTGATGAGGCAATATTTGAGTAAAGACCTATTAAAGTGGAAGAGTCATACATATACATGTGAAAAATGCTCCAGATAGGGCTGAGGGAAGCATGCAGCAAGCATTTCATAATGGTAAGAGGTGAGGTCAGAAAGGTGGTAAAAAAAATCCATCCTGGCTGCTCAGTCGAGAACAGACTGGGGAGCAAGGGCAGAGGTGGGGAGTCTGGTTAGGAGCTGGTACAACAATCTCGATAAGATATGATGGTAAATTAGATAAAGGTGTTAGCTGTGGAGTCAGGGAAAGTGATCAGATTCTGGGTATATTTTTATGGTAGGAAGGACAGGATTTATGGATGGGCTGGATGTAAGGTTCAAGAAAAAGAGAAATTGGAGATGACTCCATGTTTGGGAGGCTAAGCAACTGGAAGTTTGGAATTACCACCAGCTAAGAGAGGAAACATGTTTTGAGGAAGGGTTTTGGGAGAGGCAAATCAACAGGTTTTTTTGAAAGATGTTAATTAAGTTTGAGATGACTGACATCCTCATGGAAACGTTGTATAGGCAGAGAAAAAAAATGGGAACTAAAGATAAACTCTTGGGATACAGTGCACAGGAATGAAGTCTAGATTTGGGGGTTAGATTTCCCTGTAGGCAATAGTTCAAACCATCATGGAAAGCATGTAGAGTGGGTACAACAGTAGCCCAAGGGTAGAAACTGAGAAATGTCAACATTTACACAATCAAGAAACAGAGCGTTAAACGGAATCAGGAGAGCTTGGTGCCTTGGAAACCAATAAGATAGTTTCACAAAGAGGCAAGATATTAACCATACTACATAGATTCAGGAAAGGAGGTCAATAAAATAAAGACAAAATTTTCCCATTGTTTCTTAAAAATAGAAGTAAGCCAAATTGCTTATTAAGATCAATTTCAACTGAGCGTTAGGGGAGATATGGTGGACTGAGGCAGAAATGGAAAGTGAGAAAATTCACACAGCCACTGTAAAGCACTTTCTATGGAGTTTAGAACAGGTTAGTGGTTGGGTCTTTGTCACATTTACAGGCTGAGGGAAAGAAACCCTTAGAGAGAGATGAGTTGAAATTCAGGAAAGAAGGACAACTAATAATCTCAGATGAAACCAGAAGTAATAGGGATAAGAGAATAAGGACAGGTCAGCATTTAGCAGAAGGGGACTCACTTTCTCTCTGAACAAGAAAGAAAGGAGGCAGTCACTGGATATTGATATGTCAGCAAGCAGTA